TGTAGGGAAGTTTCACACTATGCACTATATGACTTGTCACTTTGAGTAATCCAATGCTATGGATTATTTATTGCCATGTAGAAAAAATGTCAAATATTAAAGATGTCTGAAAGTGTGTGGCTGATTAAATCTTCTCCTCTTGACGTGTTCAATTTCAGCACGTTACATTTGGTGAACCAGATGATCTAGCTGTAATCGTGAAGTCTATGGTTTTGTTCTTCTCATTATCCTGGAGTTGTGTGTTCGTAATTTTTTTTTTTCCTCTTATCCATTTAGATGCAGAGTCTGAAAGGTGGTACGGAAGCCATAGCCCATTTGGACCAATTAGAAGCTGATTATTATGATCTACAGCTTCAGTTATATGAAGTGCAGTTTGAGATCTTGAAATGTGAAGAGCTGCTGCTGACAGCACAACTTGAAAGCATCAGAAGACTTATGTCAGGTGCTTTATGAATTTTAATTAAGACGTAATCAGTAAAAGATAATTCACTTCTTAAGAGTTTAATAAAGCCTGTGGGATTGAAATGAGAACAGATTCTTTACCATGTGAGGAGCTGGATCTTCTAGCATGTGTTGTTCAGTAAAATTGGCACCTGTTCATAAGGCATATACATATACATACAGAAGTTTTGGTCTGGTTCTCATTGCATGTGTTTGGAAATAAGCATATAAAATACTATGTAGTTTTGGAAAACTAAATTCAGGGAGGAGGAAATGTCTGAATTACTGATCTTGTCTCACTAAAAATTTGCACTGGTATTACTTGATTCTTTGAAGTGATTGATTTTCAAAACCTGCAAGTCAAGAGTCCTTCAGACAGACTTTGAAGCTTGTCCTATTGCTGTCTCACTGATTTAGAGCAGTGACGCAAACCTTACGTTTCCAGAACCTACTGTACCTTGTGTACTTAGAATTGTTTTAGAACTGTTTTGACTGGAAGAGACCTTTAAGACCATCTAGTCCACTTACAAACTATGGAAATGGTACAGGTAAATCATACAGTGTTTTTGAATCCAGTTCTGTCCTTTGGACCTTTCTGTAGCTCTTGTTTTATTCATGCAAGCTCTGTTTCATTGTTTAGTGCTTAGGGATTGCAGAGCAAATTTTGTTATGGATAGAAAAGTCACTTAAGAAGAAAGATTTGAAGCTGGATTGTATTGTGAGTTGCCTCTGGAAAAAGAGAAAACAAAGGTATCACAGATTCTTCTCACTATTATGTGAATCTCCTCCTTTAGGATTGTGATGGCAACAACTAGCTGCATCTATGGAAGATGAGGAATGAAAACTCTGTAAATGACTTAAAGAAATGCAGCAGCTTTTGCCAGGTGTCTCTGTGGAGAGCTAGCTAGTGCTTTTGAGAGAGATAGTTTTTGTACTTGGGAAATCAGGTGTTTAATTTCGGTAATGAAGACATAGTATGGTTTGCTTACCTGCGGACTGAAGGGAACACCTTGAACAGGAGGCTGAGAAGGAATGTGTATCAAAATCCTTTCTCTTTGATGCAGTAATAGTAAAAAAACTAAGAGCTGTAAAAACATTGTGGGTCATTACAGTTTTTCGCTAATGGTTTTTCCAGAAATCTCAAAATAGCCCCCAACCCAACAACCTGACCCCAAATAAAATAAAACTCCCAGTTAGCTAAACAACCAACCCTCTCCTTCCCCTGGGACAACGAAATAGTTCACTGTTCTGGCTTCCTTTGCTGTTTTAAATCTGTTAAGTATTCTTTAACATAAAATCCAAAAGTTTGGGTTTTTTTTCTACTGAAGACGGCTGTCTGTGTTAAAAGGAATTTCTGCTTTTTCACAACTCTCAGCTAATATCCCGTAGGACAGAAAATTAAAAATACACTTCTTAAGAATGTGGAAGTTTTGTTTGAAGGATGAAATTACATCTTCAGGCTTTACTTTGTTGGAAGGGTGTCGTGTCTTAGTTTCAGCCAGCAAAATACCACAAAGCTGCTCTTACCAGGGGACAGAACAATTAATGTCACAATGAAGTGGCTACATCTCTTCATGACTGTTCAGCATGTGAATGGAAACATCTAAAACATACAGTGGTCTCTTAATATGCATTGTTTCCTATGCAGTCAAAGAGAAAAGCATGATTTTTTGCATCTTCTGTTATGCTTGCTTTTTAAAGTATACTTATAGTCAGTAAAGTAATAGCGTTTTAACTGTGCACATCTCTATGATTTGAAATACATGTGTCTCAGTGACATGTAGAGGCTGTTGCTATTCTTTACTCTTTGTATTGCTGCTCCAGGGGGTTGGGTTCTGTTTTGATTTGGGGAAGATCAGCAATACTGATAATGAAGTACCAACTGAATTTTTCAGAATGTGGTTTGATTTGATTGCCAGTTGGTAGTAAGCTGGAAGAAAAGCATTTTCTTTGCAGCTTCAGCACACAGGATCTGAAAAGTATCAAATCAAATTATAATAGATTGCCATATTAAAAACAACAGTAGTAGTTTTTTACTGTTGTTAACCAAATACTTGCACTCAAATTCACAAAACATGTATTTATTAGTTTAGAATTTTAAATGGTGTTATCCTGTTCATACAAACTATTCATATATCCTTGTAAGATGGTTTTGTGATGGATGCGTTGCTGTCAACACAGAATATGATAGTTGGTTTCTGCTTTGGTTGGAGGGTGGGTTGAACAAGTGCAAAAGGTGTGGATCGTATATAAAAAGGAATAACTCTAATTGTTTTATTGTAAGTGGTTGAGTCATTAGCAGCTTAAGCACTTAGCAAACTTACAGGCATTTCAAAAGCTGAAAAGCTCTTTGTAGAAAACTCTGGGAATTTTTGATGGAGGTTGCAATAGAGTTGCCAAGGGTTGGTTGTAGGGCTTTTTTTTCCAAACAGTAAAACATAATTTGACATTTTGTTTTAGAAATGATAGATTTTAATCGTTTCTTGCTGAGCTATTGGGGTTTCACTTGTAAATTCCTGTCTTTAACTCTGCATGGAAGTGTTCTAAAACAAAACTTGCATGTAAAATTCTCCCATTTTATAAGTGCTTAGCAAAACATAGTTGTTGTTAGCCAGGAGTCTTATTTTTACTGACTGATGTTTCACAGTGGGTTCTGGTGACTTGGTAGTATTGCATATGGATGAAACTCTGTGTTTGTTTGGGTTTTTTTTTAACTGGGAGCTGAAGTGAAGAATCTAGTAGGTCTTTTTATATTACTTTTTATTTTAAGATTAATTTAGGACGTGCTTTCTTTTCTGGTCCTGTCACATCTGCTGAGCTGAAATTAGCATGAACATCAGAATTTTGATTGCAGCAGAGACTCTACATACAAATAACATGACGTGACAACAGCTTTTAAAATGGACAGTGTACTGAAGTAAACCCTGCCCCTCTCCCCAAATTATCTAGTAGCAGAAGTAGGAGGAAGTTACGGTCTTGAAGAAAGTTGCTGATGAAGTTGAAATGAGAAGGCTTAGTGGTGCTGCAGAGTAGACACGACAATCAAGCCAGCTGTATCAGACTGTTTCAGCCAGCAGTAGTGCATATCCCTCTTGGTGTACTGTAAAAATATCCTACTTGGTATGCCAGTGAAATAAGGAACAGGAGGCCTTTGCTGCTTCTTCATCCAGCATTCTGCAAGGATTTATAATCATTACTCTTTCCTTCTTGGCAAGATATGAGAAGGCAGCATTCAGAGATGAGCTCAATGTTATACTGAATGCTGCACTCAGGAGGCTAAAAATTGTAAGTGTTGATAAAACTATTAGTAATGGCCTCCTTTTCAGGCTTGTAATGCTTTGAAGGATTGCATTGAAGTTACCCTCCCTCTGCTGCCTCTGACCAGAAGCAATGCCTGGTAGGTCAAAAACCTCCTAGGAGAGGTTTTTTGGTGTTTTGTTGTCTAGTTCGCCTTTAATGAAATCAATAATAGGTTGTGGCAGAAGAATCTCATGCCAAAGACTTCAGAAAGAGCCTGTATATCCTGGACTTCATAGTGAAGACCAGAGGATATTACTGCACATCATAGGTCCTTTGTATTAAGGAGGCCCAAATCATGCCTGGACATTGTGATCAAGTTAGGCTACAGACACACGTATATATTTACAGTTGCGTCTGTTTTTTAATGCACTGAGCTTACCTGAATACCACACTGTGCTTCATTGGTATTGATTTCTATTCTTCATATAAAATGAAAAGCCTTGCAGTGCTTTTCATCTGATCTTTTTGATTTTTGATTGCCCTCTGAAAGGACTGTAACATTCTTCTGCATGAAACTGTGCAGTGGGGAGGGGGCAGGTTGTGGTTGAACAAAACAAAATGTTAATCAAATACAAGCTATTGATTTGACTTTTTTCATTGCTGACATTTTTGAAACAGAGAAGAGAGATGAAGTGGTATATTATGACACTTACGAAAGTATGGAAGCCATGCTTGAAAAAGAGGATGTGGCAACATCTATACACTTGCAGAAAGAGGAGCTGCAAAAGTTACAACAAAAAATCCGCCAGCTGGAAGCAAGGCGTGGACGTATTTCAGCCAAGAAAGCCTACCTCAGAAATAAGAAGGTATGATTAAATTGCGTATTTCTAGCATAATTAGCAAATTTAATAAAGCTTAAAAAGGTTTTCATTTCATATTCAACTTCCAAGTATCCCAAAATTTTCATTGAATGTATTTTCAACTTACTAGAATTTGTTTTACATAATACATGCTATTGTATTTGGTACTACTAAATTGATATGTTTAAGGTTCAGTTTACTTTTTATTTTTAAAGGAACCTTTAATCACTTTGAAGTCAACAAATAAACTTGTTTCTATTAAGTAATCAGCATACTTTCATGTGGAAAGTACATGCTGGAATGCAAGTTTTTACAGAGAATAGTTTTATGTATATTTGCTGAAGAGAATTTTCAAGGTTGTTTTCTCACTAATGAATTCTGTTTTCATTCTCTTACCTCATCCTTTCAAACTTACATGTCACTGATATTCTGTATTCAGTAGATGTATATGAAATCCAGTATACATTCTTAATTTGTAAAACTTGGTGTGCTATTTAGGGGCACTTTCCTTTTTTGTGGTTGTGCAGAAAATTATTTTACTATAACTAATGTTTTGAAATTGCGTATCAAGTGTATGTAAATATGTTCATTCTTTTTTTCCAGAATGACTTCTTTATCATTCCCTCTCAGTTTGTAGTTACATGAATATGCATTATTAATGAGCAAGAAGATAGCATAATAAGAAGAATAGATCAAAGTTCTGAGAGACCATTGTAATACTTGTTACAACATAGGTTTCCACCCCATACTATATACTACAAGGCTATGCAGAAGTCTCTGTTGAGACCTCATTCTGGATTAGGATCAGGGGTTGATGTGCTTGTATGTTCCCAGCCATGTACCTTGATGTAGGAGATTACCCCTTTATATAAACAGTTAGAGTAGATTGAGGGTAAAGCCTTCAGGTCTTGCCTCCCCTTCATAACTAATATATTTGAATCTGAAACATAACAGAGCAAACTAAATAGTAGTTGATACATTTTACATTTTTGATTTTTTATATTTTTTCAGTCATTGTCCTGTCTCTGATTAACACAATATGGAAAGACCATCAGTAAATCATAAAAAAAAAGTCTCCTGTTAGCCAGTTATGGGAAACAGTTTGCTCAGAGTCATGGAGTGTTTTATGTGAGTTTGTAAAAATAAGTATTAAGAAGCTGAGTTCTTTAGTACTTTAAGGATTCTCTCAGTCATGTTTGGCTAATGAAGATAGGTTATATTATAATAGTGTAACTATTTTTTTCCCGAGTGTGAAATGACATTGGTGATATTTTTTTGTTGTTTTGTTTTTCTTGATCATGGGTCGGTTACACGACACCAGGCCTGCTGGAAACAGACGGGGTACACCTTTTCTCAAAGGGGGAAAAGGATCTTTGCGCAGGAGTCAGCAGGGCTCACTGAAAGAGATTTAAACTACATTTGAAGGAGAAAAAAAGGATAAAACCCGTCTCCATAGAGATAAGCTTGGGGACAGCAAGCCAGTGTTTGAGGGCTGGTGTGCTAGCGAGGTCCTTCCATGTGCCATCTCAGTGGAGGCAAGGGATGGTGATCCATGCAGCAGCAAAGACCCAAAGGTTATGGATGTGTTAGAAACCACAGAAGCACTTGAGAATGGTCATGTAGAAATTTGGCCTTTTCCCCCCAAAAAGGTGGCAGGATCAGTAGCTCAGCTGAAGTGCATCCACAGCAATCACACAGCGTGGACAACAAACAGGAAGAGCTGGAAGTCATTGTCCAGCTGGAAAACTACGATACAGCTGTCATCATGGAAACATGGTGGGACAACTCACACAGGTGGAGTGCTGCAATGTGCAGCTCTGAACTCTTCAGAAGGGACAGGCAGGGAAGGGGAGGCAGTGGGGTAGCCCTGTATGTCAAGGAGGGTTTCAGTTGTCTAGAAATTAGCGTTGGTGATGATAGGGTTGAGTGTTTGTGGGTAAGAATCAGGGGGAAGGCCAACAAGGCAGATATCATGGTGGCAGTCTGTTACAGACCACCCAACCAGGATGAAAAGACAGACCAAGTGTTCTATAAGCAGCTGGGAGAAGTCTCTGGACTCCCAGATACCAGAAGTCTGCTGGAAATACAAGAGGTTGCTGAAGTGTGTGGAAGATAACTTCCTGACACAATGGGTGAGGAAGCCAAGTAGGCAAAGCGCGCGCTGGACATGATCGCTGTGACAGTTGGAGGCCACCTTAGACACAGCGATCATGAAATGGCAGAGTTTTAGATTCTCAGAGAAGTAAGGAGGGGGCTGAGCAGAACTGCTATGCTGGACTTGCGGAAGGCTGTCTTTGACCAGTTTAGGAGACTGGCTATCAGAGTCCCTTGGGAAGAGGCAGTCCTTAATTGCAAATGAGTCCAGAATGGCTGGACACTCTTCAAGAAAGAAATCTTAAAGGCTCAGGAGCAGTCACTCCTATGTGCCAGAAGATGAGCCAATGGGTAAAAGGATTGGCCTGGCTGAACAGAGCACTTTGTCTGGAACTCAGGAACAAAAGGAGAGTTTATGACCTTTGGAAGAAGGGGCAGGCAACTCAGAAGGACTACAAGGATGTTGTGAGGTTATGCACAGAGAAAACTAGAAGGGTCAAAGCTCAGCTAGAACGTAATGTGACCTCTGCTGTAAAAGACAACAAAAAATGTTTCTATAAATACACTAACAACAGAAGGAGGGCTAAGGAAAAACTTCATCCTTTACTGGATACAGGGGGACACATTGTGACTACAGATGAGGAAAAGGCTGAGGTACTTAATGCTGCCTTTGCCTCACTCTCTAACAGACTAGTTGTCCTCCAGTTACCCAGCCCCCTGAGTTGGAAGACAGTGACGGGGAGCAGAATAAAGCCCCCACAATCCAAGGGGACATGGTTAACAACCTGCTACACCACTTAGACACACACAATTCCATTCAGACACACGCAATTCTATGGGGCCAGATGGGATCCACCCACAGGTACTGAAAAGGATGTTGAAGTGCTCACCAAGCCGCTTTTAATCATCTATCAGCATTCCTGGGTAACCAGGCAGCTCCCACTTCACTGAACTTAGCAAATGTGACACCTATCTACAACAAAGTCTGGTAGGAGGATCATGGGAACTGCAGGCCTGTCAGTCTGCCCTTGGTGCCAGGCAATATTAGGGAACTGATCATCTTAAGTGCTCTCATGTGGCATGTATGGGACAACCAGGTGACCAGGCCCAGTCAGCATGGGTTTATGAAAGGTAGGTCCTGCTTGACCAACCTGATCTCCTTCTGTGACATGGTGACTCACTCAGTGGATGAGGGCAAGGCTGTGGATGTTAGCTACCTAGACTTTAGTAAAGTCTATGACACCATTTCCTGCAGCATTCTCCCGCAGAAACTGACTGCTGATGGCTTGGATGGGTGTACTTTTTGCTGGGTAAAAAAATGGCATGGCTGGGCCCAAAGAGTTGTGGTGAATGGAGGTCAATCCAGTTGGCAGCTGGTGACAAGTGGTGTTCCCCAGGGCTCAGTACTGGGGCCAGTTCTGTTCAATATCTTTGTCAATGGTCTGGATGAGGGAATCGAGTGCACCCCCAGTAACTTTGCAGATGACATCAAGCTGGGCAGGAGAGTGGATCTGCCTGAGGGTAGGAGGGCTCTTCAGAGGGATTGGGACAGGCTGGGCCAATTGTATGAGGTTCAACAAGGCCAAGTGCCAGGTCCCTGCACTTGGGTCACATGAACCTTATGCAACACTACAAGCCTGGGGACAAGTGGCTGGAAAGCTGGCAGAAAAGGACCTGGGGCTGTTAGTCAACAGTTGGCTGAATATGGGCCAGCAGTGTGCCCAGGTGGCCAAGAAAGCCAATGGCATCCTGGCCTGCATCAGGAACAGTGTGGGCAGCAGGACTAGGGAAGTGATCATCCCCTGTGCTTGGCCCCGGTGAGGCCGCATCTCAAACCTGTGTTCAGTTTGGGACCCTCACTACAAGAAAGACACTGATGTACTGGAACATGGCCAGAGAAGGGCAACGTAACCCAAGTCACATGTAACAAGTGATAGGCGAAATGGCCTGGCCTCAAGTTGTGCCAGGGTAGGTTTAGATTGGTATTAGGAAAAATGTCTTCACCAAAAGGATTGTCAGGCATTGGAACAGGCTGTCCAGGGAGGTGGTTGAGTCACCATCCCTGGAGGTATTTAAGAGAGGTGTAGATGTGGTGCTGAGGGGCATGGT